AGGAAGTCGACTACAACAACTTCCACGACATATACGAGACCAACACCCCAACCTGTAGCGCTAAAGAACTCTCCGCTCGATTAAAAGAGAGTCCGCTCCTCCCTCACCTGCCGCTCCTCAGCCCCGACCTCAGGCAGCACACAGACCCCTTCTCCAGCCAAACCACACAGGACAAGCGGGAGTAGGACGGTGAGAAGCCCACAGAGACCAACAATGGCTCTGCCAACCGCTTGGAGAACTCTTGAGGGAAACCCTGCTCCGAATTGACTCAAGGACTGGCAAGCTTCTGGCAAGACTGGCAAGGTTCTTTCCCCTCGCATGGAGAAATATCCTTGCAATAGCCATGCAATACGACCCCCGATTCCTCTAGAGAGCCGAGCTGATGTGTAGATCGAGGTTAGAGACACAAACAGATGAGAATCCGTATATATTTATAAACCTACGCGTACTACACATATTTTAGCTTTATAAACTCTGTTGTGCAGGTTTGCATGGTATCAGTCAACGCCCTGTACCTCAAGGACAAAATAGTAGCCATATACTGTATGACCCAGAGGTCAAACCCCTTAATCTAACCATTGCAAATCAGCTTTAATAGAATCCCAATGCAAACACAACGCTTGCGTGTTTAACCACCGCGAAGGCCCGCGACGTTGGTTTCTTTAAGCTAATCTATTGTATGTTTTATCTGCATTATAATGATGCATTAGAATTATCAATTTCCCCCTCATATCGAACTGCATGTGTTTGAAATTGATGCAAGATGGAAGCTGGAAATATCACCAGACTAAAGCACAACCGCTGCAGTGGCAGACGTACGGTTTGAAAACCTGCAGTTAACTAAAATAACGGCGACGAATGGAAATACCACACATGCATTGTCTCTGTGAAGTTCAATCTTGCCCAGTCCACGCTCCTGGACTCGTATTTCGTCTCTATCACATTTGATTTGTGTGCAAGTTTGAGGCCACGCGCGTGAGACTGTCAGTCGCATTTCCAAGCGGTCCGAAGAACTGTGTTTCAAAGCATGAACCCTAAGGCAAGTTCTACACACTTTCTAAAACAGGGTATTTTCTAAGGCATGCAGACTTGAAAAACTCAAACACTTTCTACAAAAATTGTACAGATAATTCTGGTTTAAGGTGAGAGGAGAGCTCCATTCACAGCAGAGACAACGGTGCAGTATTTTAAAGACGCATTTTAGAGGAAACTCTCCTATGGCAAGTCATTTTCACAGAATAATATTATATGCAGGCTATTTACATAAATAAAATAAATAAAGAAACTTATAAGGGAATACTGTTGTTTTTTGGTTGGTTGTTGGTTTCGTGTTTTGTACATGGGGAATAGACTAAAATGCCCAAAAAAGCAATGTCAAATGCAAGAAGCAAAGTGTGTGGTTAAATTAGGGAAGATGATGATGATGATGATGATGATGATTTATAGACAAGTAAATCATTGAATAGACAACAAAAAAGTCATTGAACACGATGCCAGATTTTGGGTTCCATGTGCACGATAGAAAATTGTATATAAAATATATATTTAAATTTGATGTAAATTTGAAACTTAAAAAAAAAAAGTGATTTATTTATTTATTTTTTACAGTAGCAGATGCTGAGAGAAGTTTTCTGTTTGGCTCTGAATGGTGTAGTTCTCATGTTTTTCTTAACAATACGCTTTGTTCTAGCCATATGTTACCAGCCAGTGCTCCTTCTGCCCATGGTACATATGCATTATTCAAAGATGAGCAGAAATTAATTATCTGCAGCAAATGGGACACAAAAAAGTACCTACATTTCTCTAAATTTATCACTCATGCTTTTTTGTAAGTGCAAGAAGTTCCTTTGAGGAAGATGCACCTGAGTGCAGCTGACTGCTTTGAGAACACATATCAATTTATTAATACCTCTGAGTTTAACTGATGCTCAGAAAGGCATATTCCTCGTCATCCGTCTTCATGCTCCATGAAAGTTGCTTAACGACAAATCAAACAGTTTAATAAAACCAATAAGAACAATATGCAACGGTTCAAATGCCAGATGGCTTACAGTATAAAATAGCATTATGTCTCATCGGTCTGTACAATACCAGAGATATTGCCTGTGAAACTCAAATAAGCAGTATAATCCTTCAGTAAAGTAAATTCATAAGAGAAATAAGCAACTTGAGGCTGTGCATTATAATGATTTTACCATGGTGTAGACAGAATGGGAAGTGCATAAAACCTTCCAGACTATAATAAATTGCATTTATTTTTTTTCATTTTAAAATATATCCAAGTAGATTTTGGAACCTCTCTACACATTGACCTGGTTTTCTGAAGTGACGTTCACCAAACAAACCTATACTTCCCTATTGAGGACGGGGCTACTGTACCGTATACACATGTCCACTCATTTTCAAAGGTATTTATTTATATGAAAACACGCTGTCTAATGGTGTCAGGATGTACATATGTACACAGTCAATATGAATTTGTATACATGGATGCATCACTGCTCATAAGATCACGCTGGTCTTCCTTTCTCTTCTCAATGTTTCAAAACAAATATTAATGACCAGCGAGTAGGGGTATTCCCAATTCCTAAATCATTATCATATTTGGTCATGAGAAACAAATAGCGAATACACCTGAATAACAATAATATTCCTTAGCTTGATTATAAAATGAGTAACAACAATCCAAACATTATATAAATAAATTATATTTTAATATTTTTCAGATATTATTTTAGGTAACATGCAACACATTCTTTTCCGAACAAAGCAAACAAAGTGAAGGTAAATGCAGAGAAAGAGCACTGTGAAGACATCATGCACTGTTAAGAAATGCAATGAAACGTAGAGAGCAGAATTGTTAGTGCTGTTTGTGTGAATTGAAGTTGGCAAGGGAGAGAAATCCACCGCCGACAGCCAGCCACAGTCATTCTGCATGAGATTGTGAGTGGAAACACTGTAATATCTGGGATCATTTGAGTCAGCTACACAGACATGTACGAGGCTTTCTTACACCTGGAATTAACATGCATTTACAATCAGTCACAGTCAAACAGCACTTGACCTCATTTAAAGTCAGATTAAGACACACTTACTAAAATCTGATTTCTGAAACACATTCAGGGACGGATTCTGACCACATCTGAAGAAGGAGTAATGTATTTTCCTTAACCACTCTGTATGTGTAAGTAACAGGCCTATATGTGAGTAGCTTTCGCATTTTACTTACATTTTGCCATAAAAGAAGACATATGCTGAGTACAATTGTTGTACTTTACTATGTAACATATTTTAAAAAGTTTATTTTTTTATGAATTGGTTAATGCACTATATTACAACTATGTTTGATATCATAGCATTAAATGAAAATTCGGTTACACTTTACTTGAAGGGGTGTGCATAAGACTGACATGACACCTTCATAATCATGACATGACACATGTCCTGAATATGAAGGTTTTTTATGCATGTTTATGACAACTGTCATTAAGTGTCATTCGCTCAGTTAT